GAGTCCTTAGATGTCATGGCAAATGGAGATAAAATGTCAAGGAAGCATTAGATGCGACATTTTATCGAACCAAGAGTAGCTTGGAGCTATTAGCAACTAGATTGCTTACCCTAAAATATTAAGTGTTAAGACAAGACAAATCATGCTTAATCACTTTTTGATTTTTGGGATCTTGGAATCATTTTATTCTCGCCTAAAAGGGACAAATGTTAATGCGTGAATAAAATGCTATATAAGATAGAAAATTTGCATGAACGCTTTAAATTTCAAACTTATTGGTTTATGAATGGTTTTTCATTTCAAATTCTGTCAATTGTAGAAACATGTCTGCAAGTAACTCAAACAACAACTCTATGTGCCCGGAACTCCCTGACAAGTTGGCTTTTAGCCTTAACTTGGTCAACTTTAAGGAATGGGAAGAGGAACTTAGGAAAACTCTTTGAAATTGTTCCTTGGAGTACACTCTTGATACTCCCATTCCAAGCTTCATCTCTAAGGGAATCATGAGCGATGAGGCTCGTGATAAATGGTCTTCCAATTCCAAGAAAGTCACACAACTAATGGCTAATTGCATCCCGAAAGATTGGAAGGAAAAGCTCTCCTTCTATTTTCCGGACGTGTTCCTCAAAGCACTTGAGGATATTGTCAATGTAAGAGTCACCAAGAGTGACAATGGCAACTATGATGGACTCGTGTTTGATTTGACTAGGTCACTCTCAAACATGAAGATAAAGCCACCGAATTTGGGTTGTCTAGCTAAGGAGAGGTGCCGACTTTGGTCAAGGGTCTACAATACCAAATTGAGACCTAATATGCCCCTCCGACCTCATGTGCTTGGAATGACTAGGCTCTTCAAGCACATGCAGCTTCTCGGAATCTCATTGGAGGATGAGATGGCGGGACATATCTTTCTTGCTTCACTCCACTCGGGCTATGATGCACTTAGAGTGCATATAGCTACGAGAAAGGAGACACGCTCTTTAAGAGAGGTGGTGTAATTGCTTAGCCGAGCCACCTCCTACGGAGCAACCGAAAGGCCCTTGAGAGCAAGGAAGAGGGAGTTTAAGAACAAGGCGAAGATGTTAAGCATCTATTGTGGTGCGCAAGGCCACTACAAGAGAGAATGCAAGCACTTCCGAAAGAATGAGGAGGAGAGGAATGTGGCATCTGCCTCAGGTATCTTCATTAACACTTGTGTATAAAGCTATTCATAAGTATTGGATACCATGTATAACTCACTTTATGTTTCCTTTTCAGGAACCAAGTGAGAGGGCTTCATAAGTGGATGTGCAACAACAAGCGGATGACAAAGATGGTATTTCGATTGTGCTTATAGGCACATTTATTTTGTCTATGGCTTGTAATTAAACAATGGTTGTTTTCTCATGCTTTTGAACATACTTTTGATCTATGGTGTTGGACACCGGGTTACTTTGATTACAAGACTTAAACAATGGTTGGTTTTGATGTCTTGTTTATATGTTCTATAAAATTGCATGTTTTACGTATGCTTAGACAAATTAATGATACCATCAAAACAGCTAAGACCATTGAGTCGAATCAAACCTACTTGTGGCATTGTCGTCTTGGCCATATTAACATAAAACGCATCAAGAAACTTCTTCATGAGGGTATTCTTGATTCATTCGACTTAGAGTCGTTTGAAAATTGCAAAGGATGTCTGTTAGGCAAGATGATAAAGTAACCATTCTCCAAGTTGGGAGAAAGGTCTAGTGACTTATTAGGTCTAATACATACGGATGTATGTGGATCAATGAGTTCAGCTACAAGGAATGGTTGTCGATATTTCATTACCTTCACGGACGACTATAGTAGATATGGCTATGTCTACCTTATGTCGAAAAAATCTGAATCTTTTGAGAAATTCAAAGAGTTTTAGAGTGAAATTGAAAATTAGCTTGGCAAGAAAATCAAAGCACTTCGATCGGATCGAGGTGGTGAGTATTTGAGCCATGAATTCGACGATCACTTGAAAGAAAGTGGTATTCTTTCAGAGTTGACACTTCCCGGAACTCCACAATGGAACGGAGTGTCTGAAAGGAGGAATCGAACCTTGTTAAACATGGTTCGATCAATGATGGGTCTTAGTGAACTTCCTATCTCTTTCTGGGGACACGCACTTCTAACCGCGACACTAACACTGAACTGTGCTCTGTCAAAAGTTGTCGAAAAGACTCCATATGAATTATGGACGAAGAAACCTCCACGGTTGTCTTTTCTTAAGATTGGGGGTTGCAAAGCATATGTCAAAAGATTAATTTCTGACAAACTTCACCCAAAATCTGACAAGTGTTTCTTTGTGGGCTACCCAAAAGAAACCAAGGGGTATTGCTTCTACAACAAATCCGAGAACAAAGTGTTTGTTGCTTGTGATGGTGTCTTTTTGGAGAAGGAACACCTTTCCAAAATGACAAGTGGGAGGAAAATCGAACTCGACAAAGTTTGAGAGGTCGAGCAACAAAGTCAACCTGACAAAACTGACAATCAAAGTTCTTTAGAAGCAACTAATGACATTGGTTAGAGTCAAACCGACAATGCAAATGCTCAACCTACTACCCTGCATAGGTCGCAACAACCAAGATCTCAACCGAACAGATACCTTGGTATTATCTTAACCGAAGATTAAGACATCCTAGTTATTAGGGGTGAAACAAATTCGGGTTAAAACCGAACCGAACCGAAAACCGAACCGAATAAGAAATATGGTTCGGTTTTTTTTTTTGAAGTGGTTCGGTTCGGTTTTTTAAAAAAAAATATTTCGGTTTTCGGTTTGAGGAAATGGAAAACCGAAAAAAACCGAAAACTGAAATTTAGGCCCAGATTTACCCTAAGTATATAAGGAAAAAAAAAAAACCTAACCCTCATTCTCTGATTCTCTCTCCTAACTTCCTCAGTTCCTCGCCTCTTACCCTACCCTCATTGCGAATTTCTCAGTCTCTCACCCTCACTTTCTCAATTTCTCAATCATCTCTTTTGTGTTTCTCAGAATTCTCACTCTCCATCGTTCACCGGCACTCGTTCAGGCGTTCACTGTGACACCGTCCACCGTCCAAAGGTATGCTTTTAAGTTTTGATTATGCTTGATGTTCATATTTTTTTAGGGTTTTAATTATGATTAGTGTTAAATGTTAATTACGAAAATCTGCAAATTACATGTACAAATTTGTTAAACATTCTGATTAGGGTTTTAATCTATGCTTGATGTTCATATTGCGATGTTGTTTCTGAATTTTCTATTCTGTACAAATTAGTAAAACATTCTGAATTTTCTGGTATTTTGATGCTTTGGGGTTTTGGTCTATTCAAGGGTATTTTGGGTTTTGGTCTAGTAAAACATTCTGATTAGGGTTTTGGTCTAGTAAAACATTCTGAATTTTCTGGTATTTTGAAGCTCTTTTCTATTGGACTCTGTTGAAGATTGTTTCAGATTTTTAGTTAGTTATTAATTCAAGGGTTCGCATGATTAATAGCATTATCATTGTCTTGATAAGTGTTTATTAGATTGTTGATCTTTGTTATTATTGTTAATTTTGATTTTACTTGTTTTGGGTACAGTTAGTCAGTTAGTGCTTAATTTGATTGTTTTTGGGTGGTGGGGTGGAATCTTAGGGGGCTAATTATTATTGCTAAATTGTTATTGTCTTTGGTGCAGTTAGCCAGTTACTACTGATTTTGTTTATTAGGGGTATAATTATTATTATTGGTACTGTAAGTCTTTTTTTTTTATAGGACTATAAATTCATTGTAATTCTTACTAAAATAAATTAACTACAATTCAAAAATATGTAACAAAACTAACAAAACCCAATATTAACTTAATTTCATCTAACAACAATTGTTAATATAATATCATAATAAGTTTTGCACCAAGCCTCATAAACAAGAAAACAGTTTGCATGACTAATGCACAACGGCCCCAACCTATTATTCCCTTTAAAAGATCCAATATTCTTAATTTATGAGTTTGCATGTATTCTTACAGATTGTTATTCAACCACGAATTATTGAATGACAACCAACGTGGGTGGTGTTCCTGACCAGCCTCAATCCGAACATGAGACTGACCAAGTCTCCCAAAATCAGAAAAAAGAACAGGGAGCAAAAAGGAAGAGGATGAAAGAACGCTCTGAAGTTTGGGAGCACTTTGATAAAGAAGACTTACCTTCTGGAATGCAGGCAATTTGCAAGTATTGTGGGATGAGCTACAAGTGTGGGGCAAAGAAAAACGGCAGTAGTGTGTTATGGGCTCATATTTCGCGATGTCGTAAGTATCCCTTTAACACCCCTAAAGATTCAAAACAAAGTTTGATTTCATTTAAAAGTGCTAAAGAACCAAGTGGTGGTACTAGTGGGTTGACATACCACAAATTTGATGCTGGTAGTATTAGAAAAGCTTTGTCATTTATGGTGATTGTTGATGAACTTCCATTTAAGTTTGTTGAAGGTATAGGTTTTAGACATTTTTGTGGTGTAATAGAGCCTAGATTTAATGTTCCTTCTCGAATTACAGTAGCCAAAGATTGTTTTGAAACATATTTAACTGAAAAACGAAAGCTGAAAAATGTATTAAAAAGGTGTAATTCAAGAGTTTCTTTAACCACTGATACATGGACCTCTATACAACAAATCAATTACATGTGCTTGATTGTCCACTTTATTGATAATAATTGGAAATTACACAAAAGAATTCTGAATTTTTGTCCTATTTCTAGTCATAAGGGTGATGATATTGGCAAAGAAATTGAAAAGTGTTTGCTTGATTGGGGGCTTGAAAATGTCATGTGCATAACAGTTGATAATGCTAGCTCAAATGATACTGCAATTGGGTATATGAGAAGGAAAATAAGTGGGTGGAAAACTGGGGTTCTTAAGGGTCGTTTCCTTCACATGCGTTGTGTTGCACACATTGTCAATTTGGTTGTTTCTGATGAGTTGAAAACTGTTAATGAGTCGGTTCAACATGTTAGGCATGTTGTTAGGTTTATCAAACAATCTCCTGCTAGGTTGCAAAGGTTTAAAAAATGTGTCTTAGATGAAAAAATCAACACAAAAAAGGGATTGTGCCTTGATGTGCCTACTAGGTGGAACTCCACCTATTTGATGTTGAATGCTGCTATTGAGCTTCAAGATGCTTTTGAGAGGTATTCTGGGGAAGACCCTCACTATGTAGTTGATTTGAATGAGAGGGATGGTAAGGGTAGCCCAGATTCTGATGATTGGAATAATGTAAGAAGACTTTCTGAATTTCTACAAGCCTTTTATGATCTAACCTTGCATGTCTATGGCTCTTTATATGTCAGTTTGAATTTGTTTTTTCATGAATTGGTGAGTGTTGCTGTACTTATGAAAGATTTGGTTTCAAGTGATGATGTGGATATGTGTCTTATGGCTTGTAGAATGAAAGAAAAATATGAAAAGTATTGGGGTGATCCCGAAAAAATAAACCTCCTGATTTTTATTGTCGTTGTCCTTGATCCTCGTTATAAGCTTGATTATGTTGAGTGGATGATAACTGAAATTTATGACCCTATTGTTGCATCAAAGTTAGTTGATAATGTGAAGGTAGCTTTGAATGCTTTGTATGAGGAGTATCGTGTTTCTTCTGGTAATGATGTGAATAGGGAGGAAGTGTCTTCAAGTAAGGATGGCAAAACTCCATTGAGTCCCAAACATAAAAAGATTGAAGTCTTAAAGATTAAGTATAAGAAACACAAGTGTGAGAGAGATGGAGATGCAAAAATAGAGTTAGACAAATATTTGGAGGAGGATACAGCGGAGGATATTGATGAATTTGACATTTTGAGCTGGTGGAAGTTCAATTGTTCAAGGTTTCCTACTGTGGGGAGAATTGCCCGTGATGTTCTTGATGTCCCTGTTTCGACAGTAGCTTCTGAGAGTGCATTCAGCACTGGGGGCAGGGTTCTAGATCAGTTTAGGAGCTCATTAACTCCTCGAGTTGTAGAAGGTCTTGTTTGTGCTCAAAATTGGTTACGTGCTTCACCATTTCCAAGTATTGAAGAATGTTTAGAGGAAGTTGAGCTTCTTGAAGAGGGTAATATATAAGAACATCTAATCATAAGTTACTTATTTTCATTATGTGTATATATTTTAACTTGGTTATTTTTGTTATGAATTATGATAGACTTGAAGAATATGGCAGTTGGTGATGCTGATATTGATGAAGTGCTTGAAATAATAGACTGATGTGGCTCTTTGCTCATTGCTGACTTGCTGTTGCCACTTGCCAGACTTGCTACTGCCTTGCTCTATCACTGCTACTGCCTTAGTCTATGCTGCTGAGTGCTGACCTGCTTTTGCTGCTGACTTGCTGTTATGATGCTGCTGCTGCCCTGCTGCTTGTTGCTACTAATGTTAAACAATTTTTTTACTGCCTTTTAGAACTTGGTCTATGCTGCTTGTTGCTACTGCTGTTAAACAATTGTTAAAGTTGTAATGTTGAACAATTTTATTTTTTTTTTGGATGAAGTGTTGAACTTTTAAAACTTTGAATTATAACTTTGAAGTTTTAGAACTTTTTAATGTTGTTTAAATCTCATTAAGCATTTATGCTACTACATATGTTGATGAATATAATATTTATATGATTTAAGCCCACAAAAATTGCAGATTAAAGCCCAAATAAACAAGGCCCAAAAAAATTCGGTTTGGTTCGGTTTTTTCTTTTGAAACCGAAATTTATATGGTTTGGTTTGGTTTGGTTTCAAAAGTAAAGTGGTGCGGTTTGGTTTCCAAAACCAAAAACCGAATTAGGGTGGTTCGGTTTCGGTTTGGCCTATAAACCAAACCGAAAACCGAACTTTCACCCCTACTAGTTATGGATGGAGATGAGCCAGTGACATACAAACAAGCTATGACGAGCCCCGACTCTGCAAAATGGAAAGATGCCATGAAATCCGAGATTGACTCCATGTCTGAAAATCAAGTCTGGGACTTGGCTAATTTGCCCGAAGGTTACAAACCTATTAGTTGCAAATGGATTTTCAAGTTCAAAACAAACAAATATGGAAATGTATCTATACACAAAGCTAGACTTGAGGCAAAAGGTTACAGGCAAATTCACGGAGTTGATTATGATGAAACCTTTTCGCCAGTCACAATGCTTAAGTAAGGCCGGATTATCCTAGCGATTGTTGCATATTACGATTATGAAATATGGCAAATGGATGTCAAAACCGCCTTCCTTAATGGGATTCTGGAAGAAACTGTGTATATGACATAGTGTGAAGGTTTTATTGATCCAAGAAATGCTGGGATGGTATGCAAGCTTAAGAAGTCCATTTATGGACTAAAGCAGGCAAGCAGAAGATGGAGACTGCGATTCAATGATGCCATTAGTAAGTTTGGTTTAAACAAAAAAACCAGATGAGTCTTGTATTTACAAGAAGGTCGGTGGGAGTGACATCGCATTCCTAGTCTTCTATGTCGATGACATATTGCTCATTGGAAACAGCACTAAATTGTTAGAGTCTGTAAAGGGCTAGCTTGGTAAGTGCTTTTCAATGAAGGACTTGGGAGAGGCACAGTACATATTAGGCATCAAGATCTATAGGGATAGATCTAAAAGGATGATTGGATTGAGCCAAAGTACTTATATTAATATGGTACTGGCACGATTCAACATGGAAGGGGCCAAGAGAGGGCACCTACCCATGTCCCATGGCATAACTCTCAGCAAGAAGCAGTGTCCACAGACACCTGATGAGCGAGAGAGGATGAATTAGATTCCATATACTTCGCTTATTGGATCAATCATGTATGCCATGATATGTACTATGCCGGATGTATCGTATGCCTTCAGTGCTACGAGCCGATACCAATCAGACCCAGGAGAGGCACATTGGACTGCGACTAAGAATATCCTAAAGTACTTGAAAAGAAACAAGGATAAGTTTCTGGTCTATAGTGGCTGTAATGATTTGGTTGTTGAAGGTTCAACTGACTCGAGCTTCCAGACAGACAAAGATGACTCCAAGTCGCAGTCAGGGTACATATTCTGCCTAAATGAAGGAGCGTTTAGTTGGAAGAGTGCTAAGCAAAGCACCACTGCAGATTCTACAACTGAAGTCGAATACTTGGCAGCTAAGGAGGCAGTTTGGATTCGTAAGTTTATTAGTGAACTTGGTGTTGTACCCTCCATAAAGGGTCTGATAGACCTCTATTGTGATAACAATGGAGCAATTGCTCAGGCTAGGGAGCAAAGGGAATACCAGAAGGTCAAACATGTCAAGCGGCGATTTCACATGATAAGGGAATGGAAGTCCGAGGGTGAAATCAGAATTTGTAAGATTGGAACGGACGACAATGTAGCCGATCCATTGACTAAACCTTTGCCTCAAGTGAATCACAACAAGCACGTTGATGCAATGGAAATCAATCATGTTGGAGATTGGATTTGATTTCCTTGTATATATGTTTTAATTAAACTTGATGTCTTAATGTAAAACACTAAGTTGAACCATTCGTTTTTGGAGCAATTAAATTTTCAGCAAATTTATTATTACTCCATTTCTATTTAATTGTGGTTTAGAATTAAATAATGAGTCTATTCGATTACTGAGAATATTCAAAATAGGGTATCAAGACCTTGTCTTGGATAAAGAAACACCTATTAATTGAACATTGAATATTTTAATCGAAAATTGTCCTTAATCAGGTCATTTAAATGATGGACGATTAATGACCACTTGAGATTAGTGTGTAGTATGACTTATAGCACCGTGTCTTATGCTACGAGGACATGAATGTCATAAATCATTTGCACAGGTACTAGTTTGGAACTATACCGGATTGACCTATGAGAGTACTTTAAGAGATTTAAAAACCGTCATAATTACATTTCTCAATGTAGCTATCGGAACCTTTTTCCTCGACTTTGAGTATTGTAAGTTCTTTTTGTTTGAATACTAGTCGTTTTGATGTTGTCAAACATCTTCCGTAAATAGAGATTATAATGGAAACACTCGGGCGACTAGGTCCTCTTAGTAAGGGAAGCTAACAATACAAGACTGGGAATGTCCCCCTATTAACAATAGGAAACATGTCTTTTTTGTTTATAAGGCCTCTTGAAGAGTGAGACTGTGAAAATGCATGGCCATGCTCAGATGGATTTTAGAAATCATCTGCTTATTAACAGTCAAACTCGGGAATCGAGAAACACTTATGGACATAATAAGGATGACGAAGAATCTTACCTTATAGTTCATGAAGAGACATTAAGCGACATAGGAAAAGGGCTATACACTCATTGCATACTTGTCCGGAAGGACAAGTGGGAGATTGAAAGGAATGGTGTCCTTCCAACAAGTTTATTATTCCGATAGAGGGTTCAGAATTATTAGAAAGCTAATTCTTTAGTGAGGTCAAGTGATTGGAATGCATAGGTGGAGGCCGCTTATGATCTGTAATATTAATGCATACTTAATATTACGGCTTAATCTTGACTGAATCCATCGGGTCGCACCCCAATCAAATAACCGATCCGAATCGACGAATTAATCCGAAGGATTAGGTGAGTCATTAGAGTATTACGAATAAAGACGTCGGATATCGAGCTTAGAGCGTCGAGACCGAGCGTCGCAAGTCGAGTCGAATTTAGAATTCGATGAGACGTGGAATCAAGCAAGCGACAAGTTCGAGCCAAGCCGTATCTCGCATTGGCCTAGCCATGCGAGTGCTAGGCTAGGCGAGGCCACCAACCCATGTGTGTCATGGGTGCCTAGCATTACCTAGCACACGCACATCGCATGACACAAGCATCGCAAGATAAGTGCATGCGTGTGTGTATTGTGGTTGTGTATGCATGGCTGGGAGGGCTAGCATAGCAGTGCTAGCCATTGCATCATGCTTGGTATGGCCATGCACAGGCCGCAAGCATCGCAAGTATGGTGCCTTGCGTGCTTGCTAGCATGCTAGGCCAGGCTCCTAGCCCATCGCTAACACGAAGCATCGCAAGGCTGGGCCTTGCTAGCATGATACATCGCACATGCTAGCAGCGTGCTGTGCATGCGAGTGTTGGGCTATGCGTACTTGCGAGGTGAGCAGTGCCTAGCACTAGCAGCTCTTTCTAGGCAGCGCCCAGCATACGCTAGACAACAGAAGCAGCTCGTATGGCATGTGTGGCTTGCTAACTGTGCACATGCGTGTGCTGGCTGGCCTGCTAGCACAACTAAGGCACTAGGCGCCAGCTGGGCTGCCTTGGAAGCTAAGGTTGGCTGGCTGCCAGCTGTCCCTAGGCTAGCTCACGGTCAAGGAGGGGACCATAGGTGGTTGGTGCTTGGCTTGGGGAGCAAGGTGATTTGGTCCCCCCGTTGGTGGTCCTCTCCCTACTCTCTCCCTCCTTATGCCACTTGGAGCTTGTTGATTGCCTTGTATTTTTATTTTGTTTTTGATTAAAACAAAATAGAGGAAAATGCAAATCTCCCACATTAATGGGAGAATGTAGATCAATTCTTTATTCCCTATAAATACCCAAGTTTTGGGTTTGGGAAAAATGACTTGAGTTGAACTAAAAAGGCATCTCCTTTATAAAGTGAGAAAACATTAAGTTTGTAATACTCTAGTTTTTATTGGTCAAGTCCCGACTAACCTTCGAGATTAAGACCGTCAGGGTCGAGTCGAGGATGCGAGCCCTAGGAAGCCGTCGCACTTGCGAGGCTCGAGCTGTGAAGTAAGAGCTCGTGAATCGAGTGAAGCACCCGACAAGGGTAAGAATGTCTTTTCTCTTTTTCTCTCTCTTATGTTGTTAATTATGTGATTAAATATTTAGTTGTTTTAATTAGTGAGCAGGTCTTGGGCAGGTTTCTCTTTCGCGTAGCGTTGGACACTACGAAACCCAACAACATCAACAATAGCGGCGAAGCACTGCCGTGGCGAGGCATTGCCACAAAATTGAAGATGGCGAAGCACGGCCACCTTCGACGATGTTCCCTAGGGTGTGGAAGATTGTCACTACAAATGAAGATAACGAAGCACTGCTGCATTCGACAACGTTCACTAAGCATTGTGGAGGTTGTTAAACAAATTGGACCTGATAAGATGCGTGTACTCGACAGTGCAGGATACATGTTTCTAGCTCCCTTATTTGTAGAACTAACATTTTTCTGCCGGAATCGGTGTTAAAAAGGATGGTTTCAATTGCAGAACGTTCCGAATCAATCTCCATCCCTATTAATCTACTTTGACTTTTGTTTTCGAAACTTACGTTTCTCCAAACTCAGTCAAAGTGGGGGCTTCTATAGACACCTGATTGTGTCTCCCCAAAAACCAAACCCAGTGATGAGTACCTTTCACGTCTTTGA